AGCCTTATGGGAACTCCCTTGTAGGTAACTAGCTGCCTTTCCCTTGATGCTTTCAAGATTCTCTCGTTGTCTTAACCTTTTGCATTTTGATGATGATGTGTCTTGGTGTGGGCCTCTTGGGGTTCATCTTGTTTAGGACTCTGTACTTCCTGGACTTGTATGTCTGTTTCCTTTACCAAGTTAGGAAAGTTTTCTGCCATTATTGTTTCAAGCAGGTTTTCGATTTCTTGTTCTCGCTCTTCTCCTTCTGGCAACCCCAAGATGTGAATGTTGGCACGCTTGAAGTTGTCCCAGAGGCTCCTTACACTAACCTCATTTTTTTTTTTTATTCTTTTTTCTTTTTGCTGTTCTGATTGGGCGTTTTTTGCTTCCTTATATTCCAAATCGATGGTTTGCTTCTTGGATTTATGTACTCTACTATTGAATCTGTGTAAATTATTCTTTATTTCAGTTAATGCCTCCTTCAATTCTGACTGTGCATCCATAATTTCTGACTGGTCCTTTTTTATGCTCTTGAGACCCTCACTAAGTTCATTGAGCATCCTTCTAAGCAGTATTTTGAACTCAGCATCTGTTAGGTTGCTTATCTCCATTTTGCTTAGTTCTTTTCTTGGGATTTTGTTCTGTTCTCCTCATTTTAGCTGCCTCCCTGTGTCTGTTTCTGTGTGTTACTTAACGAGATGTATGGGGCTGAGACCAGATGCTGCTTGTTTGAAAGAATTTAGGGAAAACCTGAAGCAGGATCCAAGACAGGCCAATCCTATGGTTAAGCAAGTGGCAACAGCTTGGGTGGGCCTGAAAGTTGGGTGGGGCAGGGTGGGGCCTCAGGGAATCACCAGGGCAGGGCTACCAGTGTGAGCCAGGTTGCTGGAGTCCCAGATATGGTGACTGTCTGCCGCCCCCGGGAAGGGCTCACCAAAGGAACAAAGGCCTCTGACAGCACGTTTGTCCCCGAAAAAGCCCCCTCTCCAGCCCTCGCTCCAGTGCCAAACAGCTCAGTTCTTCCCTGTGTGTCTCTTGTGCCCCTCGAGCTGCCTCCCCTCCAACCTTAGAGGGAGCGAGTCTGATAAGTCCGTGTACGGGCCCTTTAAGGAGCTTCCTGGGGTTCCAGCCGCCTCAGCCCCCCTGAGCCTCAGTTCCTGCTGGTTTTCCAGCCAGAAGTGATGGGGAGTCTCTTCCTGGCACTGGGACCCTGAACGGGGCACCTGGTGTGGGACGGGGACCCCTCAGTCCTCAGGGAGGACCTTTCCAGCTGAGGTGTCCTCCTGATTTTTATCCCCACACGTGGGTGTGGGCCCGCCCGTCCCCTCCACCCTCCTACCAGTCTCGTGTGGCTGCTGCTTTAATCCCGTAGTTGTAGGACTGCCGTTCAGCTCAGTGTCAGGCGGTTCTGAGTGATGGTTGTTCTGTAGGTTAGTTGTAACTTTGATGTGGTTGAGGGAGGACAGATACCGCGTTTACCTCTCCGCTCTTTTGACCGGAAGTCTCGCTACCCCAACTTTTTAAAGTAATTTTCATTTGCATAAAATAGCTTTTTTCATCTCTTTCCTTTCAGTCTGTGTATGTCATTTGATCTAAAGTGAGTCTCTCTCTTGTAGGCAGCATGTGTATGGGTCTTATTTTCTTATACATTCAGATACCACATGTCTTTTGATTGAAGAATTTAATTTATTTACATTTAAAGTGATTATTTATAAATACATTCTTGCCTTTTTATTATTTATATTTATATTCTATTTTTGTGTTCTTAACAAAGTCCCTTTAACAGTTCTTGTAACACTGACTTGGTGGTGATGAACTCTTTTAGCTTTACCTTGTCTGGGAAGCTCTTTATCTCTTCTTCAGTTTTAAACTATAGCCTTGCTGGGCAGAGTAGTCTTGGTTGTAGGTCCTTGCTTTTCATCACTTTAAGTATTTCATGTCAATCCTTTCTGGCCTGAAAAGTTTCTGCTGAGAAATCAGTTGACAGTCTTATGGGAGCTCCCTTATAGGTAACTAACTGCCCTCTCTTGTTGCTTTTAAGATTCTCTCTTTATCTTTAACCTTTGACATTTTAATTATGATGTGTCTTGGTGTGGGCCTCTTTGGGTTTATCTAATCTGGGACTCTTCACTTTCTGCATGTATGTCTATTTCCTTGTCTAGGTTAGAGAAGTTTTCACTCATTATATTTTTTCAATTGCGCTCTCTCTCTCTCTCTCTCTCATACCTTTATGATGTGAATGTTGTCTCAAAGGCCCCTTAAACTTTTTTTTTTTTTTTTTTGCTGTTTTTATTAGGTGTTTTCTGCTACCTTGTCTTTCAAATTACTGATTCTATCCTCTGTATCACCTAATCTGCTATTTATTCCTTCTAGTGTAGTCTTCATTTCAGTTATTGCATTATTTATTTCAGACTGGTTCTTTTTTATGCTTAGTATCTCTTCGTTGAAGTTCTTACTAAGTTTATTGAGCATCCTTATAATCAGTGTTTTGAACTCTGTTTCGGGTAGATTGCTTTCCTTCATTTCATTTAGTTATTTTTCAGGATATTTCCCCTTTTATTTATTTGGGACATGTTTCCTTGTCCCCTCATTTTGGCTACCTTTTTGTGTTTGTTTCTATATCGTAGGTAGATCTGCTATGCCTCCCAGTCATGGTAGTGTGGCTTTATGTAAGCAGGTGTCCTGTGGGGTTCAGGGACACAGAGGTTCTGATCACCTGAATTGGGTACTCCATGAGTGTGCCTTGTGTGGGTTGTGTGTGCCCTCCTGTTTTAGTTGAGCCTTGTTGTTGTTATCATGATAGCATGTTGGGTTGACACTCAGGCTGAATAGCTGTGCGAATTGGCCACAACCACAGTGTGCGGGCTTTTTGTGTAGAGGCTGATTCCATGGAGCTGGATCACCCCAGCAGGGTGGATTGTGCTGAGTCTACCTTTTGGGGGTGTTTCCAGTGGAGCTAATTGGGTGGTACTCTATTGTGGCTGAAGCTGGCCACTGGGTGTGTTGGTTCTGAAGCTTCTTGGGAGGGGCTTCTTTATAAGCTAGTGTTAGTTGCTCTCTTTGATCAGCCCAGGGCTATCTGTTAGCAACTGCAAAGCAATGCTGGACCTGGGCAGGCATGAGAAAGCCATGCTGGTACTCATAGCTGGCTGCCACTAATACCAGGCCTGGGGCAGGTCGGCAACAGTACAAGGCTCTCTGAGCCCCATTGCCTCTTGCCTGCTGCCTGTGTGGCTCAGCCACTGAAAGGTCCTTGGGTGGTATGCAAGTTCAATAAGGAAGGTCTCAGGGCGTCACCAAGCTGGAGGGAGTGGTGTTCGCCAGGTTAATGCAGATTCCTATTTGGTGCCAGTACTGAGTCTGGGGCCACTCAACAAAAGTCATAGCAGCTGTCTGTCCAGCCCTCACCCTGAAGCACACAACTCAGTTTCTCCCTGTATGTCTCTGGTGCCCCCGAGCCATTGTCCCTCCGCCAGAACCCAAGGTGAGTGCCTGAGAGCAAGAGTCTGTGAGCAGGCCCTTTGAGAAGATGCTTGGGTTTCTAGCAGACTTCCATCTCCCCTGGATGGATGGAATCCTTGCTGATTTTCACAGCCAGATGTTTTGTGGCTCCTCTTCATGTCACTGGTGTGGGAGCCTCTGTAGCTGAGATATCCTTCCTGATTCTCAACTACCAAATGTAGGTGTGGGACCAACCTATTTCACATCGCTGCTCCTCCTACCAGTCTTGACATGGTTTCTTCTTTATATTCCTAATTATGGGAGTTCTGTTCAGCTAGTTTTCAGATGGTTCTCCTCAGTTATAATTTTGAGGTGGTCATGGAAGGAGGTGAGCACAGTGTCCACCTACTCAGCAGTCTTGACCAGAGCTCCTTAATGGGATCGTTTTTTTAGATTTCTAGGTGATATAGTTATAACTAGTTTTTATTAAAAATAATGTAGCAACAGCCTAGCTGGTGTGGCCCAGTGGTTGAGCATCAACCCATGCACCAAGAAGTCGCCAGTTCGATTCCCAGTCAGGGCATATGCCCAGGTTATGAGCCAAATCCCCAGTGGGGGGCATGCAGGAGGCAGCCAATTGATGTTCTCTCTCATCAATGTTTCTGTCTCTCTCTCTCCTTCTCCCTTCCTCTCTCTCTGTTTATATGTATGTTTAAGTATATTTAATTTTTATAAAATTAGAATTTATTATTTATTACCAGTTTAATTTGCCTATTTAATTTACTTTTCTGCATGCAACATACAGTCTTTTATATTGTAGTAATAGATGCGTATCCGTTCATCTATGTGTGTTCTGTAATTAATTCACTGGACATTTAGTTTGCTTTGAAGTTTTTACTCATGAAGAATAATAATCAGAAATAATTTGAATACACACCTTTTGGTTCATATTTGATTATTAAACCCTATAATCTCATTTTTTTAAAAAATAGCTTTTGTGGTGAGATCAGAATGTAACCATTTCAGGATTCATTTGCAGCAGTGAGTTGAATTACAGGTGCCCTAACCTATCCTACACCAGCAGTGCCAGAGACTCATCTATTGTGAAGTAATTGGTTGACTGTGTGCCCTGTGAGTGGCCAGTATCCTTCTGATCACAGTGACAGACTAGAAATTTAAACCCTTTTCAGATGCTCCTAGCAGACAAAACAGTGAAAATGGAAAAGCCATCTATTTACAATGTCAACCCAGCTGCTGTATGTGAGCATGATTTGCTATGCCGTATTCGACAGATTATTTTTATATCCTTTAGATTTATCTTGCTTTCATTAAAATACACTATAAAATGTTCTATTACCCTTTTCCAGGTGAATGAGTTGTGATGTTTGGTAAAAGTGTCTTTCATAGACAAGAGTTTAGATCATGTACTGACAGCCAGCACGGCCATGAATTGGCAGAATGGTGTATAATTTGGGCACGATGCTTATTCAGGAAGCACATTAAATGTTAGCTGTGATGGCATGGGTTTGCACAGGATTCAACTTGATGTTTGAGGATCTTATTTTTCTCTTCAACAGGTTAATTATGTACGGCTTTGTGAAAGCTATGGTATATGCTGGCCAGTTGAAAAACGGAGACTTCCATTTCACTGACTGTTTGTTTTTCGGTTCACTGATGTCGGCTACAGATCCAGGTAATTGCTCAAACAATACTTTTCTTTTGAATAATCAAACATTTAAATTAAATGTCTAAGAACCGTCATCTGAGTCTGCATAGTAATTTCTTATTCCTGTTCACTTGCAGTTGACCTATCTGTTGGTGATTTAAAAAGAAAATAAAAGAAACAAGTGAATGTCTTAGTAACTCAAAAAATATATCTGAAAGCAATTTCAGTAGTGAGAAACACTCTTTAAAATTTATTATAGTTTATTTCTCTTGCGTATATAACCATTTTGAGCTACAGTCCTTAATTTTTTTCTAACTTGTATTTTTTCCAAAAATGCTCTATTGAATTAAATGATAAAAATTATTTACTATGGAACTTTTCAAACATATTAAGACTATGGAGAATTAAAATGATTGTCTGCTACCATGCAGCAATACTCAAATACAGCCAATGTTTCTACTTATACTCATCTACACTCCTTCATTGTCATTCTCAATATTCATTTGTGTAGTAGTTTGTATGAATTAAGACCCAAATAAGGGCTACACGTTATAAGTGATTGATATGACTATTGAGTCTCTTTTCATTTATTTTTTTAATGTTTTTCTTTATTGCTTTTAGAGAGAGGAAGGGAGAGGGAGAGAGAGAGAGAAACCGAGAGAGAACATCGATTGGCTGCTTCCTGCATGCCCCTCATTGGGAATTTGGCCCACAACCTGGGCCTGTGCCCCGACCAGGAATCAAACCAGCTACCATCTGGTACATGGGTTGACACTTCACCACTGAGCCACACTGGCAGGACTATTGAGTATCTTTTAATTTATATGATCTCCTTCATCTTCTTCTATTTCCTGGTCATTTATTTGTTGGGGAAAAAGTCTATTTATCTTGTGATTAAATTGAATATGGTTCCTTATTTGTCACTTTATCCTCTGCATCTCTTGTAAACTGATGGTTCAATCTGGAGATTGAATCAGATTCAGACTCAACTATTTATTTTTTGGCAAGGACACTTTCTAGGAGCTGCTGTGCTTCTCTGTGGTGTCCTGTTGGGAAGCACCGGTGATTAATGACGTGGCTGTCAGACTGGTCCACCACACTAGGGAACTGATGCTCCGACAGAGACCCCCAGAACACACCTGCAGTTGAACAAGATGTGTTCATTACATGTAATGAGAGAGCGCTCTTGAGGGTGTTAGAAAGACTCATTACAGGATTGGGCTTAGGTGTGGGGATTTCAGGAAGGGTCTAAGGAACTGGGTCTGTGTTCCGGGTTAGATGCTGTCTGGAGGTGGAAACAACAGGGCATTTCAGTAACTCTTATCTAGAAGGAGGGGAGACTGGATTGAGCCTAAAGCTACAGCTGGTAGAGAAGCAGCAGCCACTAATAGAGCCAGGCTGGGGGAGGGGAGGTGGGTCAGTTTTGTGCATGAGACAGTGTTCATTCCTTGTGTTTCAGCGTGATTATACAGTAGCCTTGTTTTTGTCTTGATCCATCATGGTCACAGATGACCTTGTCTGATGTTCTGTGAAGCTGTTTAAGTTCAACAGAACGCCAAGGCCCAGCCGCTAGTACCAGGCCGGCCCCCCGGTGTCAGGGCCTGCTTTTCTCTTGCTTAGGGTGACCCTCTGTCCAGCGGTATTGGCACCATGAGGTGGCTTGTTAGAGGGTATATCTCAGGCTCAACCCCAGGCCTACTGAGTCAGAGTCCAGAATTTCACACGAGCCCGAGTGACTAAGATGCATGTGACAGTGTACCCAGCTCAGCTAATGCTGTAGTTCCCGTCCATGGTGACTGCTATTCCAGCATCGGTTGGGGCTTATAAACTATGATGTGCTCATTCTGTCCCACCTGTGGCATTTGTAGGCCGGTACTCTGCTACGAAGGAGCATTTGTGTGATTAACCGTTTGAGCACCCATGATATTTGACAGAAGAGCAGGATGTATGATTGACGCTTTCCACTTATTTACTAATTTTCAAACTAATGAGTTGTTTCCCGAGCACCCTCCACGTATGACCAAAGAATGTTTTTTAAGTATTATATCAAGGTGTGGGTTTTAACATAGTTGCTATGTTTTAATCTATGCCATCATTATTCTTTCTGACGATCTTGGACAACTGGGAACCTCTCCCAGTTTCTCCTGTGCCTTTTTGTCATGACCCCCGGGGTCTTCACAGGCGTCCGGTTTTGTGGCAGATGAGATGTTTCAACCTTATCTTGTACGTTTTCTCTACCCTGACTTAGAACCAGCCATTTCTCCAAGAAGCCTTAGTCCTTTCTAAAAGGAAAATGTACAAGGGTGGGCAAATTCGGCTTATAGCTGTTCAGATGGAACATAATACAATTGATAAGTAATCATAAGAATAAACTCTGTTTCATTTACTCACAAATGTAAACCTACTTTTGCCCACCCCTGTATTTAGATCAAAATTTGGGCACTAGGGGTTTTCATTGCAACCAAATTGGTCATTGTTTCTAGATACTTCTGTTTTGAAGGAAAAATAATATAATAAATTCACATTAATATTTTCAGTTCAAATTTACTTAATTGCCTTGAATTTTTGTTTGCATTTTAATTTTTCTCTGCCTACTTTTCTTTTTCCTATTATGTTAATATAATTTCTTGCTTAAAATAGATATATACAAAATTATAATGTACATTATTATTACTAACAATATTATTATTAAAAACTGCCTAAACTTTCACTGTTATTTTGAATTTCTGGATATATTCCACTAGGGTTAAACAGTTAAAAATCACCTTGTTTTAAGAGCTTTTATAAGAATTCCTCTGTGTGGTTAAGTCACAAGTTAATATACAACAATGTTCCTTTGTTTCATTTCGCTTTTACATTTTGTTTTACAATTAGATGAGATATCTACAAAATTCCAAAATGAAAACCACAGAACAAGAAAAATCTAGCTTTTCTCCTGTCCTTCATATCTAATTTTTCAACTGTCTTGGCTGGTTTTTTGTTTACTCTTCTAACTTTAAATCTAAGCAAATACAGAGCGTGGTGCGCTTGGCTCTCTGCTGCCTCCTCACCTGCTGCTCTGCTCTGCTCTTTGCGGCGGCGGGGTGTCCCCGTTCACTCCACCGGTCACCTGCTGATGGACACTTGGGTTCCTTTTTGTCTTTTGTGACTATGAATGGTGCTACAATTAGTAGCTCTTTACACTTTGCCAGTGTTTCTTTGGAACAGATTTCAGAAACAGGTTAAAAGATAAATGCATTTGTAATTTTCCTGGATGTCAAGTTCTCTCCGTGAAGTTTGCACCATTTTGCATCCACCCTGGCCACATATAACAGTACCTATTTTTTATAGTCTTGCCGATGCAGAATTCTGTCACAGTTTTGGCTATTTACCTATATAATAGGCAAGGGTTTGGCTTGACTGAGCACTTATCAAGCCAGATGTTTGATGTTTAGGGGCGAATGCATCCCCCCCCCCAAAAAACCAATCGTTTATAAGATGCCCTTTCTGAGTGGGTCTTTCACTTTTCAAGCTTTAGACATTCTTAATATATTAGGGCTAGCAGCCCTTTGTCTGGAATATAAGTTACAAATAGTTTTCCTAGTTTTATCTGTTTTATTTTGCTTATAGTATGGAGGAAGAAAGAAATTTAATAAATGCTGTTGACCTATTTCTTGGAAGAGGATGAAATGAAAGTAGGTCTCAGATTTGGAATCCCGGGTGTAGCTTGGAGGGTCGGAGTCCCAGCGGAGGTACCGCGGTAGACTGCCCCATCTCCAGGTCCTTTCTGCAAGATTTCAGTTACATTCTCACAGCCCAGGGAAATGCAGGGGTCCCTCGGCAGCCCCAAGAGGCGCGGACTCAAGATAACTATTTTCAAACCCGTCAGTGATTTTTAGTTAGTTAGGGTTCTTTCCTGCCAGTTGTGGGCATTTTGCTTTCCATGGTCAGGTCCCTTTTGCAGAAATCTGCATGTCAATAGCACTGGGCCCATTGCTTCCTGCACCCAAGGCTGCAGCCAAGTGGGCTGAGTCCAGAGCCCCGCACCGGCTCCCAGCTCCACTGTGTTCAAGCTTTGCTCTTCCGAGGCTGTTTACTCAACAGGAAAACTGCTTGAAATAGGACAAAAATCCAACTCACTAGGATCGTTATTTATCTACAGTGTGTCAAGCAGCTGAGCTAACTGGATTTTTTAAAATACAGAATCAATTCACACCCTTAAAGAGAATCCTGGAACCAAGTCCACTTTCCAAGTCTGGCGGAGACCCTCTGCGCACCTCTGGGCGCCACGTAGCCGCTCTAGATTTTATAGGTTCTTGGAAGTGGAAGGTATTTGATCTCGACTCTTCCAACCCCTTCATTTGACAAATGAAAAAACCAATTATTCAACCCAAAGCCTTTCAGCCAGACATTCTGGGGTTCGAACCCCAACTCAGCAGATGTTCAAGACGACCCCCAGCAGAGACTCACACCTGAGCAGGAGTACTCACGCTCCCTTCATCTACTGGGAGCGAATTGCTCTACTAAGCGCGCTGAACCTGCTCTCTGTTAAATTGGTGCAATTTAAGATCCTCAGCAACCTTAAAACACCCAGTTAATCTTATCCCACAGTTATTCATTTATTGCCTAAATAACTGTGACTCACTATTTATAAAAGAGAACCTATGCTCTCAAGGTCTGCTTTTTCTTAAAGTTCTTTAAATTAATTCTTTCCCATGTAGCCTTAGGGAGGTATTTTTCTTTTATAGATACACATTGAGACAAATCTAATTCTTCCTGCATCTTTTAGACTCTCCTCAGCGAATTTTCAGTTTACCTCCAGTTGGGATGGTTTGACTATTATTTGATTGATGTAATATCTTGCATTTTTCACTGACAACGATCTTGCTAATGATGTAAAAGGTCATCAGAAGCACTCAACAGGGGGTGGGTAGCTAAAGGCCACCCCCCAACAAAACTGTGCAGTAAATGTCAGCATAGGGGAAGAGATAACTGCTTAGGGGCTGGGTCAGTGAGCACATCTCAGGTGTCCAGACAAGGGCAAGTAG